TGCAAATTTATGAAGTCCCGAGGCCTGGTTATTAATCAACAACCACCATGATTTCATGTATTTTAAAAAAATATTCTAATATTTTATATTCATACCGATTGATATTAAAATAATTATAATTATTAATTACTATTTAAACTATATTTATGATTTTATTATCACTTCAATATTAAAGTTAACAACACAAAATTGGTTCTACCTAGTGCAAATGTGGCATGTAATATGTCGATGGAGACAATTAGTAAGCCACATGTAATATTGTGAGTAAGCCATCACCTTATAAGTAATGCCAAGTTCGATTACCCCGAATTCTGATGTTTGATATTACCTCAGACATGGACCAATTGATCCTACAACAAAGTATCTGTTTAGAGTCAGTATACTAATAATTAGTTGCGCTCCTTATATTTTAGTTTCAGTGTACCAATTGATTTTCTTATATTTTACGGTTAGTGTACCAATTGCGCTCTTTACATTTTACCTAACCTAACCTAACGATGGTTCGATAAATGTACTAATATCTCTATCAAGAATTACTCATGTATCGGTATCTTGAGATTCAGAAGTAATACTGAAAGTACCTATTAGAATTAATAAATATGAAAACAATGGTAAAAGTGTAAAATAATTTTCCTAACATCACTGAGAAAGATGATAGTGCAAACTTTATTTTTTGTTTAGAGATTTTATAGGTTTTTACTTACTGGTAGTGGCAGATATTTCTCCATTAGCTTCACAATTGGTCGTTTTTTTTAGTATATTTATACTTTTCTAATATTGAAAACATTTTGTTATTAGTAAAAATGTATGACTAAATTACATATATAACAAAATAATCCAAATGGTACTTTCAAATAAACTCATACGAATTCACACGTTCATTGTTGTCTATTCGAATTGTTAACGAATGGAGGGTGGTAGTGTGCACTTATGTAGACGATAAATACAAGCAAAATAAATAGAAATTCGAAAACATTGGTCACTGTCATAAATAGAATTATTTACTATCATTATCAATGATAAAATTATAATAGTGGCAATAGTAGATTGGGGTTTGTCCATAGAGACATACAGTATTCTGAGTAATATATTTTATTAAAAGTAAAAACTGTTTTTTTTATACATATGTAATGACTAGGTATTAAAATGTAAACAAACACGAAAAAAGTTGGGGGTGCTAATTTCAAAATTGGGGTTGCTAAGCACACCCAAGCCCCCCCAAATTGCTCCTATGGCAGTTGTGTAGGTTGACGGTTGCAGTTGTACAATTCACCTACACCCCGTATGATACTGCAAGGCACTGACCAATCATATATATTGGAGTACTATATTATATTATAGTCCGTGTCTTGCAGTAAACTCCGACGACAAAGGGTACCTTCTTGGCATAAATTTTCTCATGAAAAAACAAAATTAATTATTATTTATTTACTAAATTAAATACACAAATATTTAAAACTACATAAAATAATAATTTGTAAAAAAAATAATATCGGATGGAGGGACCATTGCGCTCTATTAAGCTACGTTTTCCCTGCAGCGTCAAACAGTGGAACAGCACCATATATATCATAAGAATGGATAGGGCACGCCTATACTGGCTTCGTAAGAGGTTGAGGTCTTTTTTGGGGAAGAGAGAAAGTTCAATAACTATGAGAGAGATGGACTATAAGAGTGCTTTTTGAAGTTAGGTTACAAAATTGTAATATTATGAATAATGATTATTAAATTATAATTAAAATTTTTGTTTTTTTAAATCGTATAAATATGTATCAATAATTGAGGAACTCTTATAACCTCAAAAATGTTGTCTCTTTATTCTCATTTGATAAGCCCGATGTCCTATCCAGTCTTATAATAATATCTATGAACAGTGACGCCAGACTCTGCAGGGAAATAGTACCTTTATCGTATAATATTACGTCCACTACGTACACCGTTTAAAACCAATAATTATTTTATTCAGACGATTCAGTTTAACAAATAACAATATGTTATTATAGGTAAATAATTCATATAAATTATGATTGTTGTTACCCAACAACAATAATGACTTTACCAAAAAATAATGTATTCTGCATGATTTTAGGGTGAATGTTTTATTTGATTTTGAATCTCATATAGATGTAGTATACGAGTATTTTGTACCTAATTAATTATAATATATAATAATTTCTTTACTGTAAATAATATGTTTGTATAATGTTGATCGGTAGCTATTTTTTAATCCATGGTTTTGAGTTTCTGTTGATACTTTCAAACATATTTTTATTTATTTCAGATATATAACACTGCATAACGTATCGATAATCATGTCTTAACGACATACCTTTAGTTAGGTATTTATGGAATTCATGGTTATAACAACTTTTTATTACTGAAAAATAGTAAAGAATTGTTGTCAAGTTTTCATATTAAGTTTTCTTTTAGCTAACAGAAAATTTGTACTCGAAGTATAGTCGTTAGCTTTAAAAATGTTAGTTTTCTTCTTTGGACGGTAGATAACGCTCCAGTATATTGTACAAGCATTAATAACGTAGGTACACATAATATTATTATAAGTATACAACGTTCAAGTGAAATCCACTAACTACTAACTACTAACTACTAATCTACTAACTACTTACTATTTTATTAAAAAACAATAGAGCAGGAAAATCATACCAAACATAAAAAACTATCCTATGTTGTATCTTTGTAATTTGGAATAAACATTGTACCTACTATTCATATTATTTTAATAGTTAATAATAATTTTATTTTCTTCACATTAAAGTTGTTTAGTTTAAACTATATGTATAAAAAAAAAAAAAATAAATAAATACATACCTGATTAGATTTTTTTTTCATTTCATACAATACAAGTAGGTCGAGTAGTTTTTGAGATGTACATTTATACAATTTAACACTGGTATTTTGGTGATTGCTCAAATACTGCTTAAACCAAATAATATCGAGATACCGAAATTCTGTATAAGACTAAAATACTACATAATACCAAAATACAGATACATATTTTAATGGTAATTTAGTATTTCAGCAAGTACGTAATTAATACATAATGGCTAATAAAATGGTATATCGTTGAATACCAGTATCTTAATTAAATTGCGTTTACACTAAATTTAGTGAAGAGAGTATTCGGTATTTATCATTCACTGCAGTAGGTACTAAGGCGACATCCTTCCGTGTTTTTTTAAACTATGGCTTGCTGTTGAGGCCGATGAGTGGTATGCTTGTTATAAGACCTATAAATATTATTAATTCAGAATTCTACAAAAACAACAAACATGACATCTACTAAATAAAAAAAAAAATAATTAAAAATGATACTTTACAATGAAAAATAAAATAAATAATTATCAAATTAATAAAATAAACTTGAAATCAAGTGTAATTTGTTGAATGGAAAACATCGATTAAAAATAATTAATTATAATTATCTGTAAATTAATAAATATTATTTTAAAATGTTTATAATGTACATGTATATATGGGTCATAGTACTTTAATATAATTTAATCATTTAAACCATGGTATGCTTAAAACATGTTATTTAAAGGTTTTCGTTGTTTAGTATTTAAATAGATACAAACTGGTATGCCATTACTATAGAAAGCATTGAGAAACTTATTATACTAATGGAGTGTTAACCTTAGAAGTTCGAAACAATAGTGTACAAGATAAAGTATTTGAATGTCAGCTACAGAGACTTACTAAATTAACAAATTATTATCTTTACTAGAATGATTATGTTTGCCATAATTTATTATAAATATCATAAACGTATTTAATATTTATTCTAGTTAATAATGCATAGGTATTAGGTACCTACTTTATATTATTAAATGTGATTGAACATTTCTCAAAAAAATTCATGGGGCCTAGCTGGTCACCATTTCAAGGGTAGATCACATATTGAAGAAATACCGTTTTGAGAATACTTCAAGAAACTTACAACAATCAGTGTATTATAATGATAGGTACTTAAAAAATGGAACTTTCAGGTGAACTTTTTTATTTTGATAATTGTAGAATAACTTGTTTGGATTTCTCTATTAAAATCTCAAATGTTAGCCATGCAAATAAAAACTTTTATACATTTCTATAACTCAAAAATAATAATATTCAAAGTTAGAAAAAATTCTCAAGTCTATAAAAAGCAGAAAAAGAGACAAAATATTTTGAAAATATAACCATATATGGAAAATACTAATATAAATATTTGGTGAAATTTTAAAATGGTTATTAGCTTTTGAGTTACATCAAAAAAAAAATAAAGTAAATTTTTTTAAAAATTGTTTTTGCGTAAAAATTACCATTTTTTTTTACCCAATTCTTTTGAAAACTATTGATAATTTTCAATTTTCAACAGAAAAGATGCTGAAAGATGTCGAAAATTGGAGCATTTTTCCTACCCAAATGGTGATGACGGGAAAAATAATTAATTTGTCAGTTACTATAATCTATTTCAAACTTATAAGTATTTACATATATATATATATATATATATATATATTATATATGTGCATTTTTTAACCTTTCATCGATTTATAATAATTATTCGAATAGTTATTAAGCAATATTAAACTTTGAATAAACATTTGGCTTGAAAAACTATATTTTTTCTATTTAGTTTTCTGTTGTATTTTTTTCATTTTTCATATTAGGTATAAATTATTTGTTTTTATAGTTTAATTAGATATAATAGTCAATTGTACCCGTATAAATTTCCCATTTAATGATAACTATTGTTTACCTACTTATAATATATTCGACATCAATGATAATAATATACTTACTCAATAATTTTCCATCCAAATAAGTACATAGTCCAAACGTTTTCTTTGTGTCCATGTGTTGCATATGTAGGAAAAATTACTCAGATCACGTTCCAATCAAACCTAACCTAATATGGTATCTTATGAATATTTTTATTCATATATTATGAAGTTATCTGTTCCACGCTAAATAATTGAACACGCAAAGAGCAGTATCATTTAATTGGTTCCACTGTTTTTATTGATTTCATTTGGACATCGTTTGCCAAACTTTTGCACCTCTGGTTTCGTACAAATTCGTAGATTGTGTATGTGTGTGGTGTCGTTCCCGTAAATAAAGGCACACATCCAATTTGGTGACAGATCAGTTTTTCGCAACGGCAACTCCAAATAAAGTAGCACATTGTGTTTGTCATACGCACTGAACACAATACAGTTATCGAGCAATACTGTCATGTTTGATCAATTTGTCTGATGTAATAATGATTTCTCCGTGTACAGATAAGCTACCTACCTATATTTTATTTTCTATAGAATTGTTTTTTATTCACTGTCCAAGCTTCTACACGTAAGTGCGGCGAAATTGCTTTTTGAAATTTTGAATTTCACCAGGAAACGTCTGGTAAACGATATAGGTACCTACCACTTTATCAGTGTTGTAACAGACATCGATTGCCGTTATTTCATGTTTTATGGTATCCATTTTAAGGCCTTGTCCAATGTCCATGAATTCCAATAATGAAAAGGTAAAAACAAAATAAACACATCATTCATTTCTGTTTTTAAAAAAGACGTTATAACATGATATAGGTACCTACGTACTTTTACTATATTGGACTTCTACAACCCCAATATATATTCACATCCTGTACGAATAGTATTATGTGTTTCCGCAGGATTTTTCGGTTCATTTCGGTAGGAAATCTCTACGTTATTTATGGATCCTACCCGTTATTACGTTTATGGTTTTCGTTATTTTTAATTTTGTGTGTTGTAAGTAAGACGTACATTTTACATTTTACAATTATTATATAATTGTCACATTTTTTTCCATTATTTTATTTTTAACAATTTTCGAGACACAAAAATAAGTTTGAAACATTTTAAGAAAGCCCGTTTAAAAAGAAAATTGAACTCCCACAGTATTTTAAGCATTTTGTTTTTCTTATGTCTGTAGTTTTAGATGACATTGCGAAAACAGAAAAAATGCACTCAAAGAAATCGTCATTGAAATGAAAAATATAAATATTTTTGGTAAAATCAATAAGCTTTGTTATAAAATTTATATTAGCAGGTAACTAAATTATAAAAAAATCTATTTAACAATGATATATTTCATAATTTAATAATTAGTTAATTAATTTATAGTATCATTGTAATTATTGAATACATTTCTTCTTATAAAAAATTGTTAAATTTATATTGTTATCGAAAAAGGAAAATAGTGTAAATACCTTTTCATTTAAATGGTCCCTTGTAAATGCATTTCTAAATAGTTTTTAAATTTAAACACAAAATATAGCATGCAATAAAAATTTGAGCGTGTAATTAAAATTTATTAAATAACAATAGGTATATTTTTTTATATTGTGTAATAATTAACAGATAACTAAAACTGAAAGTTTAAGTTACAAATGCGATTATGGTAATTGTATTATAGGTAGGTTTTGTGGCTTATTTTGGACTAATTTTTTTTTAATGCATTGCACATTTAGTTATACATATTCTATACGCTAAAGACTTGATGATTTTATTTTAGATACATTTGTGGTTACTTATAAATATGTGACCAACAGCACGTTCTGATGTTTGATAATAAGGTTCAACATATTTATGTATATGGATAATGAGTTTGCGAGAGGGGAGAGTTCGTGTCGAGGGCTTTTTGACCTCAATTCGTATACATAAGGGTAAGGTATATTTTAATTTATCTGTATAATTGTTCAAGGGAAAAACTGAGCAAAAAAAAGGAACTTATTACGCTAAAAAAAAACTCCCCATATAGTAAGTAAATCCTCGTGACCTATTTCGGCAAATGTAATAGCTGTTATTCAGTGAAGATGTGTGACAACTGACAAGTATATTATATATTTTACAAGTCCAAAGTGTAATTTATTTAAACATCTACATAATATTACATCGATCCATAAAACAACAAGCAAACCAACAGTATTTTTATTACCTACCGATTGCATCAGATACAAATTCCTCGTTATGTTATGATTTTACAACGTATTAAACAAATAGTAAAAAAATCAACTAAACTTTCTTTATAAGTCAAGTTATTAGTTGTCAAGCGAAAATGCTTGTTTTGATGATTCTAAAGCTGGGTATATAAACGGGTATTCTATTATGTTGATGATTTTAAATTAAAATATAATTTTGATTGTTAATATATTATACAGTTTTGTTAAAACAATAATAACATATTCTTGGAATATCTTTAGAAGGGAACTATAAACTAAGGTAGTAAAATGATTTATATTTATATATCAACGAACATAAAATGGTAGAATTTATACAGAATTACGTTTTCAAACAAATAGGTTGATGTTTAAAGTTAAACAGAAGCAGTGTAGATATATATTTGTGTATTTTATGTTGATTCGAAAAACAAACAATGAAGTGTTATCTAATTAGCCATTATTAAAGTGAATTTCAAAATGTACAAGAATAATTTATAATTTTATGACAAATAAAATAACAGTAGAATTATATTCTATTTAAATAATGTTTTTTCTTATAATACTATTAAAACAAACTATTCAACGTAAGAGTTTCCATAAAATGTAAATCTTAATTTTAACATCGCAGGATAACTAATTTAATTAATCCCTTGTAGAAGTGTAAACAACTTTTCTTATAGTGATAATATTTATTTGTTAAATAAAAGCTTTGAATAATACATTGAAATATACGAAACATATTGAACATAACTTACTGTATCAGTACCGGATTTGGAGGGGAGGGGGTTCTAAAAATAATATGTATTTTTATTAAATACAAGTATTAACAGTAGGTATATTTTATAATATAGATGTTTATATCGGTGTCGCCCCCCGTAAATCCGTCACTGTACAGTACTGTATAATAATTTTAATTTCGAAGTTTGAGTAACAGGTAATTTATATATTATAAGGTAGATTATTATATATATTATTTTCTCTAAACATAAATCATCTTAGAATATCTGATATCATGAATAATTAATTTGTATTACAAGTAAAAAATATTGACAATAAACCATACAGAGGTACAGTATATACATTTATAATGATAAAAACATAGTTTCCTAATATTATTGTGCGTAGTATATCAATAATTGAACAATTTAAGAGTAGGTATAGAAAAAATATATTTATACTGATCACTGACCTATTGTGTATTACATACAGATACAATATTGCGAAAAAAAACATTAAAGGTACCTACCTATTTATTTATTTTGAACCAGAAGAATTTGATACTATTTCCATGATATTATATGATATGATTAAATTAGATTTATTCCTTTATTTGAATTATTAAACTAAGATTTGAAGAAAAAAAGTAACCATTTAGAAATAATATTAATGGTACCTTTTATGTATTTTTTTAGGAACAAAATAAAATAAAATTAGTTTTTTATTTATATTTTGATGAAACTTTAAGTATCTATAAGACCCTACATTTTGTAATTTTCCATTTGTATGCATTAAATATAGTTTTAATTTCAATATTGTAGTAGTTATATAAATGGTCACGAGTTTAAGCAGAAATTATTTACAATAATTGCTCAGAAAATGGTTTTTATAGAGTAAAATTAAGAACAGTCAGCCGGACCTTTTCAATTAATATAGACTTAAGAACAATTTAATTAAATTAGGTCTCTTTTATTTTTATAAATTTATATGTACCTACCTAAATGGCTGTTTGTATAGTAATATAAAATAATTTTTTTTCATCAAATATAATATTAATTATATTTTGTTTTTATGAATGGAGTTTAGTATTACAATTTGTTGAATGTCATTTGTCTTGGTCATAACTCATTAGTAATATATTATCATAAAAAGTGCCGTGTTAACTTTCATTAGCGCCTCAGGGCCATAATATTTGGATCCCATAGTAAACATACATATATTTTAAATACTTGCCGTCCTTTAAAATGTTACAACTTATAGCCGGCTCCGATCATATAATTTAACTTTTGACATAATATACAGTCTCTCAAAAGAACTCCGGACTAGATGTATAATCAACCGAATAAAGCTAAACAAACAAATTATTCAAGTATAATGAATATAGTAATATAATAATCTTTATTTAAAAATATTATCGATTTTTAAATTGTTTAAAATAAGTAAGAATTAATTTTCATTGTATGTAATATGTAAATTTCGATGATAAAATTGAATTGGTTATAAAACAAGCATAAATATTATGCAAACAATATAGTCTTATAGTAATATAATATTTTAATGTAAAATTTGATTTAATCTGTCTGGCGCTGAATACTTTAAAATACATTTAAAAATATTGTTTACATTTTTATAGATTTAAATTTAAATGTGTTCATCTTGATTATATTTCAATTTAAACCCGATAGTTTTATTATGCCAACTTGATAGACAAGATTTCATTATTCAAAGAAATATTATTCTATCTGAAAGAGAAAATATTGTAATAAATAATATAGTAAAGCAATAAATATCTACTCGGAACAATTTTTATATTCATAAGAGTTCTACCACGCTCATATATTATATGATGTTACATATTATATTATTTAATAACATTATATGTGTATATTGGAGCATGTAAAAATGGATTTTATTTTTTTGAATAATTATTTATTTTACTCCAATTAAAATAATAAATTAATGATAGTTAGTTTGAATATTAATTTTAAGCCTAAATTATATAATTGGATGTTTATTAAACATATTTTGAATACAATATATTATTCTGTAAGGTATTGTTATTAAAATTGTATTCTAGTTAAGATTAAGGTTTATCAACTACTCAATATGTCTATTCAGTTGTAAAGTTTCAAACCCAGCAAGCAGTTTTGAATAGTACAAAAAGTCTAACTCCTTGAAATTCCTTATTATATAGACAGCATTTCTGAAATGACTTGTGGTTTATATAAGGAAACTAATTTAATTTGTCACATTTTAATTTATGGTATAAATTAACTGCAATATAACATTATAATGCCTATATTAGGTAACATAGTATTTCCACCTGTTTATTTTATTAATAATGTTAACAAAAATTATACAAATAAAATAAATGCATTTTATTTAATAAAGTGTATAATCATTTGCAAAATAATATTATTTCAGAACATATTTGTCTACATTATATTATAATTAATTAATGAAACATCATAATCATAAATATTTGTGGGCAAATAAATCCCATTTAAATGCGTAGTGGTAGAATTATTTTGCGTTATGAATACAATATATATT